GTTAAAGAGGTAAAGTGATATTGGGTAACAATTCATGAGAGTAACGTGTAATTTATTCTATTCAATAATTTTCAAAATACTTTCTCATAGTATGTAAAATTACTCTTATATAGTCTATTGTTTTCGTACCTAATAATTACAAAAACATAAGGTTAGCATTCACATTCATGATATATCTCTTAAAAACACACAAGCATGCATATATAGAGACAATACGTTTTACCCACCCAACAAAACTTGTATGTAGGGAAGTGATGACAAAGTTAATACCAAAATGCACATTGACCAAATTAAAGAGCAAGATATTATGTTGTCTGAATGGACTAGTGGTGTGAGAGGTTGTAATGACTTGATGATATAGGGCCTCAGGTTTTCAAGCATAATTGACACCCCCCCATTTAATGAACCACACAAAGCTCAATGGTTTCACTTTCAGTTAGGCCTCGAGTCTCTCTACATGAGCCCTATGAAATTCTTCAATCAAGCCCCAACAGTATGTTGGTGTGTAGGCACTCAGTTTGACTCCCTTGTTTACATCATCAAAGGCAACTAAAGCAACCCCCATCTCTGGTTCGGACCCTCTTGGACATACATGGGGACCATTTACAAGACAATCCAATCCAATCCAAGCCCCTGCTCCATAGAGAGCCACGAAGACCATTCTCGCTCGCTCACGAACCATCATGACGCACTCTGCATCACATGCAGTCTCCAATTTGGGGCCTCCCTTCCCCGTACAACTTGTAATCTGTTGTAATTGTGTCTCCAATTCCATTCAGATTATGTTTATCCCTTGCTGAGTCACTCCATTCCACTAATGTATATGTCTCACCCACATTTTGAACTTATTTTTTGGATTTTTAAATTTTGTTTATTAAATTATTTCAAGATTATAGATGGATATAGAGGGTGGGTTAAATTGTTGATTAGTTTCGGAACACTTTGTGAAATGGCTCTCTGTTGATCAAGAATCTTTGTGTTTGACTAGGGAAATTAATGAAAAATATATTTAATTAGGTGAAACCGCGCCAACAATGTTTTGTTTCGTCATTCCCATGCCAATTTTCTTTCCAAAAGTATGTATACAAAGTTATATATTTTTAGTTCCGGAACACTACGTGGCATCATTACAACATATAAGAGTTTTAGAAATCAAATATTTTGATCTCTAATGTTGTGTTTAGTTAGGGGATTTGGGGAGGGATTTAGAAAGGGAAAGGAAAAAGGTGTGTGAAACTAGGTGAAATATAGGTATATTTTATTCACATTTCACCTAACTTTTCCCTTTCCTTTTCCAAATCACTCTTCAAAATTCTCCAACCAAACACAGCGTAAAAGTAAAAATTTTGTTGCAAAAGACATTTAGGGACCAATTTTCATCATCATAAGAATAGTCACTAAAAAGTTGTCTCGAAAAGTAAAAAATAAGACATTTAGCAACAAAATTTTGAAAATGTCACTAATAAATAGACTTTTAGGGACAATAATTTGGTCTCAAAATAGTTTATTTTTTGAGACAAAAAATTTGATCACAAAAGGATAATAATTCATCATTAATGTCCAATTTTTGTTGCTAAAAATATAATGGTGACACTTTTCGCAACAAAATTATTTGGTTCCTAAAAAATAATTTTGTCCCTAAATTTTGGTCTCTAAAACCTTAATTTTTTGTAGTGCATTATGCTTCAAATCAATTACATAATGAAAAATTTTACAAATGAAATATGCTGACTTATTTTTATTAAATGATTAAAAGATAAATGATGATCCACTTAATGTGTATTGTAATTTTTCATTGATCGAGTGTGTAATAATTTTCATAAAAAGTGAGGTTTTCTAAACTAAAATAAATTTATGGGATAGATTTAATTTTAGTATGATAAGGTCAAAATTAAAATGAATTCAATCTATAAATTTTAAATTACAAGTTTCTTTTGCAGATTTTTTGTGGAATGATCAACCGATGTTTGACTATGGAAATTAATGGAAAGAAATAGATTAATTAGGTGAAACCCCCACCAACAATGTTTTGTTTTGTCATTCCTACGTCAATTTTCTTTTCAGAAGTATGTTATACTTCAAGGAAAATGGGGGAGACCCCCTAGCACCCCACCCCCAGTGAGTGGTGATTGGTTGAAATTTATTTATTTATTTATTTTTCTTCTCTCTTTACCGCCTACATGTATGTAGAGGTGGTGGGAGTCGTTCCGTACAGGGGTCCGAAACAGTGCTCATAATTCAAACACAAACTCAAACCCTTTCGATGTAAAAAAAATAAAATATATAAAAATAAATAAATAAATAAAATCAGACCCTTCTATCCCTTTCTAGTCACTCCACTATGGTATTTTGGAAAGATAATTAAAAGTTGACTTTTGGTTTTTATCTAAGTTTTTTCTTTTTTCATAAAGCTATTTGAGAAGTTGGTAAAAAAAACTATTTTTTAATTTTTTTACTTAATATTTATTTATACTATCACATCATAATTAAATAACTAAAATACTCTCACCTATTTTTGAAAATAATTACTTTCATTCATGTAACTCATTTAAACAATACAGAGGGTATAACTGTAATTTTATAAACGCAACTTTTTTTTTTTCTTTTCTTCCCAAATGAATGGCACCACTATTACGCATGCCTAAGCCACTATATTTCGTGGAAATGTTATATATGATTGGATCATTTTATTCCATTGCACACTACAAGACATAATTTTAATAAATATTCCACATAAAATTTCTTTTAAATACAAAACCAATCACAACATCCAATTATACAATTATTAATATAAAATAATGATAAAAATCTTTTTGTATGGAAAAAGTAATTTCGTGATTGTAGTGAATTCGATCTCCATTACGTGTCAATAAAAGAAGAATCCCATGTTGCAGAACCATACCGAATAGATCTACTCGAGAATCATTTTTAATCAAAAATAAATAAATGAAATAATGATTTGAACTCTATTACTCAACATTTGTTTTTTTAGGAGCAGTGAAAGGGATTTACCGAGCTCAACTTGGGGGATCCATATCGATGATTCGATTGATTTATTTTGTTAAAGCGAGTTTAATAATATTTTTCTAACTTGATAAATCACTTAGTGCTTTGAGTTCGGTAGACTTGTATTAATGAGTTGAATCATTTATTTTACCAAAATTAACCTAACAAAATCTCTCCAATTGAATGTCCAACCAAAAAAAAAAAAAAATTCATTCCCTTTTTTTTTTGTGTGTGGAGAGTTTTCTTCTTATTTTCCAATAAAAGATAATGAAGAAAAATGCCACAAGCAATTAGATTCAAAGTTCTCTTTTATTTTTTATTTTTAAAAATTTCCCCTTCCTTTCTGGCATTTGGCCCAAAATCATTTGTTACATCCATTTTTCAACCATGGAACATTTATTTCCTCGCCTCATCAAAATAATTTTCATAGTTAAATTCGTTGCATCATTCTGCTAAAATTACCAATCAACCGATTAATGCAATTTAAAAAGTAAAAAGATGATTTTTTTGATGTGATAAGTTAAATCTTAACGGAATATGGTTGGAGTTGATTGAGACTCTTTAAAAACATCTTTAATTTTAAAAATAAAAGTGATAGATTTTTGATTTGATAAGCCAAAACTTTAATCGAGTATGGTTGGCATTGATTGAGACTCTCTAAAAGTATCTTCAATGAACTTTTTAAAAGAGACTTGTTAGTTATTATAATTAATTTCATTTTATTTTACTTACTCCAATGGGTTGCTAATATGATAATTATTTTAACAAGATTCTTGCAGTCTAGCTACATTTGGAGAGTATTGAGATGCTTTTTTAAACTAATTTGTATGAATAAATATGTAAAATAAATAGTAGCGTTGGAACATATAAATCATAATTTAATTAGGTAAATTAACGAGCAAATCTTTTTCATATTTTAACTAATGAAAACTAAAGAGTAGTTAGAATTGCTCTAAAGAGAAATCCTCGGATTTTTTTAAAAAAAATAGGATAAGTCCAAGTTTATATTTTTCCAAACATTTTATATTTCTTATTTTTTTAATAAGAAATAAATAAAACGATTTTGTGGTGTCAAAAAATTAAGTTAGCCTCATAAGGAAATGTAACATTATAGTATTTTTGACAAATGAGGAATTACAAAATATAGTATTCCTTCAAATACTTAAAAGATGTGATTCGACATTATTTCATTCATAATATTTTTTACTAAGTTATTGATTAATAATTTTATATAAATAATTTCAGATGATATTTCAAGATTACTTATTAATATACTTCTATAAGAGCTCTGCCAAGTTGAATTTGATTAGAAAAACTAATTTGATTAGTCAATTTTACAATTGGGCCAGGTTCAAAACATCCTATTAACAAATTGGTCAACTTTCTTTCTTTCTTTATTTTTAAATTCGTTTAAAATATGCGAATAAATTTATTTTTTAGGACAAATTACATATACATCCCTCCAGGTTTGGTTAAATTACAGATACCCCCTGAGGTTTCGGAAATTACATCCCGCCCCCTGAGGTTTGTATTTTCATAACAATTTACCCCCTGAGGTTTATATTTCATAACAAATTACCCCCTAATTTCTTATGCAAATATAGCATAATATGCGAATAAATTTATTTTTTAAGTACCGTATTTCATTTAATTTAAACCAAGTGAAATTGCATTATTAAAGTTACAACGACGACCTTGTTAGGCGTCGTCACTATCTTACGCCCCCCTTATATGCGCAGAGAAGACCGCCCCTCCAGCCTACCACATCAAAACCCTTCTCTCACTCCTCCAATATGCTAAATTGCTCCTCCTTCCCATCCACCAAGGATCCTCTAGAGTGAAATTTCCGTAAAGTTTCCTAGAGTGCTCCATTGTGTGGTTGAGATTCACTGACAAGTCACATCAGAAAAATTGATGTGACTTGCCAATAAATCTCAACCACACAATGGAGCACTCTAGCAAACTTTAGGAAAAAATCACTCTAGAAGATCCTTGCTCCTTCCCATCCTCACCAACCCCCAAATTAGTGCCCCTCCACTCCACATTCTCTCTCTCTCTTCCCCCTGCTCTGTCCCTTCCTCAATTGCCACCCCAAAACATAAACAAATAAATAAGATACAACCACGCTTTCCTACACCACCTGTCCTTTGCTAACGTGCGCCTTGATAATTGATCAAGGAGAAAAGAAAGAAGCCCATTTTACCCATCTTTCTCTTCCTTTCTTCTGATCCTGTGTCTTTACAGAGGGAGGGAGCAAAGCGAAGTAAAGCAAACAGAGCAAAAGGCAAAGCATATCAGACTTTTTGTACGCTGATTTGGGTCACATCTCTCTCATCTCATCCTTTCACTAACATACGCCTTGGTGGCACTGCCTAACACGTCAGTCAGTTATACACACGCACACACACAAATTAAAAGCTCCATTTCTCTCTCACTCACCTTTTATTTGGGTTTCTTCTGTTCTTTTTTTGTCTTCTCTCTAGATAGGATATGGGTATTGGTATTTCTGCATCATTTTGGAGATTATTAGTCTTGCTGTGGCTGCTAACATGCGCCATCCTCCTCCAACCCTCCACCCCAGATCCAGACGACGAAGCTTGCTTAACCCACCTGAGCGAGTCTCTACAGGACCCAAACAACAACCTCCACAACTGGACCAAGACCACCTTCAAGGACCCCTGCGGCGGCTCCGCCTCATACCTGGAAGGCGCCACCTGCAACAGCGGCCGCATCTACAAGCTCTCTCTCTCAAACCTCTCTCTCCGCGGCTCAATCTCCCCATACCTCTCCAACTGCACCAATCTCCAATCCCTCGACCTCTCCTCCAATTCCCTCTCCGGCCCAATCCCCTCCGACCTCCAATTCCTGGTCAACCTCGCTGTCCTAAACCTCTCCTCCAACCTCCTCTCCGCCCAAATCCCACCCCAAATCGCCTTATGCGCCTACCTCAACGTCATCGATCTCAGCGATAATCTTCTCACGGGTCCGATTCCGCCGCAACTGGGGCTTTTGGTGCGGTTATCGGTTTTCGATGTGTCGAATAACCGGTTGGAGGGTCCGATTCCTGCGGCGCTGGGGAACCGGACTGGGAATTTGGTGAGGTTCAATGCCAGCTCGTATGTGGGGAATAAGGATCTCTATGGATACCCATTGCCGCCATTGAAGAGTAAAGGCCTTTCGATTATGGCGATTGTGGGGATCGGATTGGGAAGTGGGTTGTTGAGCTTGGTGCTCAGTTTTAGTGCTGTGTGTATATGGTTGAGAGTTTCTGAGCAGAATATGACTGTGGAAGAAGGCAAAATTAGTCAGCTCATGCCTGATTATTGAGCTCATCTCAAAAATTAATTAATGCTTTCAACAAAAATGAATTTAAGGTAGGCAGGTATATATGATTGATAATGGGTTTTTGTTTTTTCACTTTGTTGTAATTTTTTGTTTTTTGAGGGTAAATTTTATTAATTTCTGCAAGTTTTTTTTTTTTTCTTCTTTTCTTTTCTTGGAATTTTGTAGTCTTTGTTAACAATTACCTTCTTCTTCTTCTCCTCCTTTTCTTTTCTTTTTTTTTTTTTTTTCACAATTTTTACTGATTCAACAATTAACAATGAATAGATGATTAAACCAATTCAGAAGTACAAGTTGAAATATGAGATTCTGGTGAAATTATTCGAACAATTTTGCTCCTCTGTTTCTTTGTATATAAATAGTGCACTATCTGTGTGTGTGTGTGTGTGTCTCTCTCTCTAGTGGGAAAATTATTTGGCATCTTGGTAAGTCTACGTCGCGCCTTTGTTGATTAAAATTATGTGATCCAACATTTTTGGATGGCTTATTTGAGTGGTGTTTTAGGAAATTGATAAATAGTTGACTTTGATTTTTGATTTTTTTAATTTAAAATTTAATTTTTTTGGATAATGATTTGAATAAAAAAATTAATTTTTTTGACTAAAAAAATTAAAAATTAACTTTTTACTAATTTGTCAAAACAAGCCAGAATACAACTTGATGTTGGATAAATGATAAGGGTTAATGAAAGGAAAGGGGAAATATCATTAAAGTGAAAACTAAGAAAAATATCTTCAAATTAATGAAATTTTTTATTAAGGAATGCTCCGTACACAGAAAGTGGAGCACACAAGACAAACACAGAATACTGTTCACCGGTTATCCTTCCGGATGATTAGAAAATTTTATGACATCCGCAATTGACAAGCTTGACAATCACGGTTGAGACTATGACAATCGCAGTCGATAAGCTCTGGCCCATCGTTTGGATGATCGTCTGAGCAAACGACCGGTGAACAGTATATGTGTTTAGTTTCTGTATTTCATTCTCTATATTCCTAGACATTTTGAATTTTATAACATTAAAAAATATATGTATAAACCTTTTCATAAAAGTGATAATATTTTTTAATTACCATGAATGCTATTTTTCCTTAGGATGTGACCGTCTTCACACCATAATCGGACTGGATAGTTTAATTTGGCTCAATGAGTCAACTTTTAGACCCGTTTTGATAATTTGAATCATTATATTTTAAGGTTATATTATTTTTGTAAAAAATTAAAGTTGATTGGACAACGAAAATCACGTGTTCGAATCAATTTTATATGAATTATTTTTTTTCTCACTGTTTATTTTTTTCATACAAAACTGATCCGAACACATAATTAGCATTATATAATCGATTTAATTTTTTACAAGGATAATATATTCAATGAATCTTAAAATGTGAACGGTTTAAATTATCGCAATAAGACCCAAAAGTGAGCTTACAAAACCCAACAACACCTCTCTAAGCCTTCGTTTGGTAATAATTTTTTTAGTTGGCTTTTTAACTTTTTTAGCTTGAGATTTTTTTGTTCGTTTTGTATTCTTGATTGACTTTATTAACCTTTTAGCTTTGGATTAGTTGATTTTTTTTTTTTTTTTTTTTTTTTTTTTATCCTTTTGTGATTTTTGACATTTTATGATTTTTTTACTTTTCTTTTTCTTTTTTTTAATCCTTTTATGATTATTTAGCCGACTCAAAAATCAAACAACCACTAATGCAATGGAGGATTGAAAAGAAGCCATAACATTTCCCCTAATTAAATTGATATTGATGTCGATTGGGGTTTAAGAAATTTTTTATTTTGTTAATGTGTGACCAATGATTAGATATTTTGTATAAAATTGTACTATCATTTTACTATTTTTTTTTATGACACATGTTGACCGGACTTTTGAAAATAAAAGGGCATATTACAAATATATTTAAAATATAAATTATTTTTTGTGACTTGAAAAATTACAAATATCTCTTTGTTATAATGTTTTATTTAACAGAATTAATTAAAAAAGTAAAATTTTTAACTATTCACCTATATAATAATAAAATTATCTGAATTATTAATTGAAATAAAATTTTAACATTATTAAAAATTATTAATTAATTTGATGATTTATTACAAAATGACCTATTTGTTATGAAATTAGAAACCTTAAAGAGCATACTACAGCGGATAATTTACAATTTAAGTAAATCTTAGAGGGTGTGTTTATAATTTACCCAAAATAAAAAGAAGAGAAATATCACATCAGAGAAATTTTTAAAAAATAATTAACATATCAGTGAAATATTTTATAAATATTAATAATTAAAATTATAAATATTTTTTATGAATATGTATTTTTTTTTCCTCCTTTGGCAGCAAGATCGGAACGGAAATGATATGTGATAGGCAAATAACACACAGCAGTCTTGGCAGAAAAATAATTTAAAAAAATAATAAATTTTATAAATATTAATAATTATAATTATAATTTCTTTCATTAATATGTATTTTTTTTTTACTCCCATTGTGGCGTAGTTACCAAAATAAATAAATAACTAACCATAGTTTTAGTTCAAATAATACTATCTTCATTTTATTTTCATAAAAATAATATGATATGATTTTAATTCACACTTACTAATATTGAGAATATGATAGAAAGTGTATTGAAAATGTGTAAGATAGGTAAAAAAAAAAAATGTTTTCAAATTCATAAAAAATATTTTGAATTTAGTAATAAAGTCTTTGAATTTATACAATTTTGTATTTTTATTGTGCTCCAAAAGACTTTTGTTAACAAAATTCTTTGAAAAAAAAAAAGATTAATCAAATTATAATTTTATCAGGATGATATATATTAAAATTATATTGACATATTTATCAGATCAATTTAATTTTTTTTAATATTATTTACGCAATAAAAATTACAAAATAAATTAATTAAATTATTAAAATAATACATATCGTGGCTTCAGCATAGACGGAACAGGTTTACTACTAGTGAAGTTTTAGTCATATTTGAAATCGAACCAATTGAGATATACTTTTACAACCTTAAAATGATTGGATGGTGAAATTAGAAAGCTTGAAATTTAACCATGAGCATTTTTGTTCAAAGTTGTATTAATTAGTTTGTGAATTTTACATAAGTGCTACTTTTGTTGTTGACCATGACGTTAAGGTCTCCTTGTTGATGTCTTAATTGAAATTAAAAGGAGTAGCCACTCATGTTCAAAAATGTGATATTGAGTGGGTAACATGATTGTGGTGGCTTGTTGATGTATGATTTTTTTTCCCTCTTTTACACTCAGTTTTGTTTATTTTATTGCCCTAATATTATACTCATCATATTTACCAAAAAAATAAAAAAGAAATATATGGTGGGATTCATATTTGTCCCCTTAAACAAAAACTATCCACATGTTATTTACACATTATCTGTTTGTTTGTAAATATAACATAAAATTTGTTTTCATGCATACTCTTGCACACCACTAATGTTACGTTTTAGGGCAAATTTCACTTTACCTCATATGATTTAAACCATATGCGGATTACTTCCCTGACGTTCAAATATCACCACACAATCTTCTTGTGGTTGATGGAGTAAAGTGCACAATTAGTTTTTCCATCTATTTTAACAGGCTGTATAGTACACGCAAGTGTGGTGCAGTTGGGCATGAACTGATGATGTTCCCTCACAATTAAAAGACCAAAATGTCCCTAGAGTTACAAATAAAAGCTTACCCAAAAAGATTGCTTGTGTGTTTCAACTCCTATGTTCATTACTGATTGAATTTGCCAAAAAGCTATGATATTTTATCATAAAATTCAAACTCTACATAGGATTTCAGTTTGCAGAATATAATATAATTCCCTAAACAATTACATGAATTTGAAAGGACGAGTGATTCAGAGATCATGCCGAACAAAATCACAAAAATCAAAATCAAGTTCATTCTCTCTCTCTCTCTCTCTCTCTCTCTCTCTATATATATATATATATAGATTCATTTCTGTTCTGTTGTATATAGTGACTCATATATGTATTGTTTGATTGAAGATAGAACTTCATGATCGGAATCAATGTATATATATGTATATATATAATTTGTAGCTATATATATGTATATATACGTTAGGAATATGGTACAAGAATAAAACTGTAACTGTATGTATATAATCTGTGACTTTGATTTCTATGTATATATATATAATCTATATGTATATAATCTGTAGCTATATATAATATGTGACTTTGATCTCTTCTTTAATTTCTATGTATATGTATATATGTATATATATATAATCTTCTTAGATTTCTCTCCAAAAATTTTAATCTTCTTCGTGTGTGTATATATATATCTATATAATTTAGAAGGTTGTTCTAAGCACAACCTTCTTCAACATTTTACTCACCCCCATCCCTTAAGGTTCACTATAGAAAAGTGATTGGAAGCTAATCTAAGCATAAACCCACCTCAAAAAAAAAAAATTATTCAGAAAAATAAATTACGCTAGTATATATATATTAGAAGGTTGTTTTGAGCACAAACCTTCTTCAACATTTTATTCACCCCCATCCCATAAGGTTCACTATAGAAAAGTAATTAGAAGCTAATCTGAGTACGAACCCACCTCAAAAGAAAAAAGAAAAAATAAAAAAATTAAAGAACCTAAATCAAAAGAGAATCAAAAACTCATTTTCACAAATTCCAAAACTCCATTCTTTGAATGAATATCATTAAAAGGTACAAATCAGAAAATAATAAATTTCCCAGCCAACTAAATTCGAATCAACAGATAAGGTAGACTACAGAGAGAGAGAGAGGGAGTAAGAAAAAAAAAATTCTTAGATGTGCAAGTTTTTTTTTTTTTTTTTTTTTAAAATATACAGGCTTCATTTGGGAAGAAAAAAGTTGGGCTTCGGTTAAAATAGCCACAAAAAACAAAAGGGGAACTTACCAATAAATCCTATATACAAAGTTCAAAACCCATCTAATCCCAAAACAAAACATTTGTACCAATTAGTCCTATATATTTTTAATTATTATAAAAAAATCCTATTTTTTTAAAAAAAATTTACAGATTCTGTTACATCCTATAACAGTCGGACTTCCGTCAGACGGTCACCGAAAACTCGCTGGAATGTTCA